GGGCCCCAAGACGGGCCAAGAGGCTTTCAAGACGCCCAAGATGGTCTCCAAGACGGCCCCGAAGCGCCCCAAGAGGGCCCCAAGTCGGCCCAGAGGCCCCCAAAACGGCTTCCGACGGCGTCAGACGGGCCAGGAACCCACCAAGATGGCCGAAGTTGGCTCGAAGCTGGCCCAAGACGGCCCAAGAGGCCTACAGGAAGGCCGGAAAAGGCTAAAAACACTGAAGTTCCTAAGGTTTTTGAAGGACTTGGACATTTGCTTTTTTTCGGCCTTCCGACGGCCCGAGACGGCCCAAGAGCCCCCGAAGATCGGCCAAAGATCGCCCACGAGGCCTCCAAGATGGCCTCAGAACGGCCCAAGAGGGCCCCAAGACGGCCCCAAGAGGCCCCCAAGACAGCCCCAAGAGGCCCCCAAGACGGCCAAGATGGCCTCCAAGACGGCCTTGGAGCATTCCAAGAGGGCCCCCAGTCGGCCAGAGAGGCCCCCCCAAACGGCTTCCGACGGCGTGAGACGGGCCAGGAGCCCACCAAGACGGCCGAACATGGCCCCGAGATGGCCCAAGACGGCCCAAGAGGCCTCCAAGAGGGCCTCCAGGAAGGGCCGAAAAGGCGAAAATCATTGATTTCCAATGAGTTTTGGAAGGATTGTGGCATTTGCTTTTTTTCGGCCTTCCGACGGCCCGAGACGGCCCAAGGGCACCCAAAGATCGCCCAAGATGCCCAAGACGGCCCCACGAGGCCCCCAAGACGGCCAAGAGACCTCCAAGACGCTCAAGATGGCTTCCACGACGGCCCAAGAGCCCACCAAGACGTCCTCCAAGAAGGCCCGAAAGGGTCAAAATGGCCTCCAGGCGGCCAAGATGACCTTCAAGATGCCCACATGTTCCCCGAAGGCTTTCCAAACCGATTCGGGGAACACGTGGTCCGATAGCTTGGCAGGTCTGGCCTCAACGTTCGACCACATAGGCGCTTCCAAGAAAGCAGGGGGTGGCGGTGATTCGCCGTAGGCGTCTTCGACCCGCCGCCCCCTGTTGGCTTGCCACAGGGGTGCCTGGCGTGCTAGATCCTGCTGCTTTTGGTTTGGTTCTTTTTCCAGAAGAACTCCCCCTGGGGCTTCGGCCGATCCCGCCCGGCCACCTGGAAGGCACCCAAACGAGCACAACGTCCAGAAACAATTCTCCAATACGGCTGAAGATAGCCTACAAGAGGCCCCAGATGGCCCAAGATGGTCTCCGAGTTCGCCCAAGACTGTCCACGATGGCCTCGAAGACGGCCCAAGAGAGGCTAAGATGCCTCCAAGTTCGCCCAAGAAGCCTCCAAGACGGCTCAAGATGGCCTCAAGATTGCCCAAGACTGCCCAAGAGGCCCCCAGGCCTCCAAGACGGCCCAATAGGCCTCCAAGAGGTCCTCGAGGAAGGCCCGAAGATGCCAAAATCATTGATGCTCCTTAGGTTTTTGAAGGATTTTGGCATTATTTGCTTCCTGTCGGCCTTCCGACGGCCCGAGACGGCCAAAGAGCCCCCAAGGATCGCCCCAAGATCGCCAAAGAGGCCTTCAAGATGGTCCCCAAGACGGCCAAGAGGCCCCCAAAACGGCCCCACAAAGGCCCCAAGACGGGCCAAGAGGCCTCCAAGGGGCTCCCAAGAGGCCCCGAAGAGGCTTCAAGATAATCCCCGAGGCACCCAAGACGCTCAAAGACGGCCCTGGGCTCGCCGAGATGCCCCTTCTCCTCCTCCTCCTCCTCCTCCTCCTCCTCCTCCTCCTCCTCCTTGTCCACTGTCTCTTCCTCCTCCTCCTCCTCCTTGTCCAGTGTCTCTTCCTCCTTCCTCCTCTTCGGCATCCTCCTCTTCCTGCTCCTCCACCATCCTCCCCCTCTTGGGGTACCGGACGGCTTCCCCCGCCTTCCCTGATCACCTCAACTCCCCTGAGCATCGTTCCTAGATGGGCTGGTGGGAATTTTTGGTCTGCGGGCTCGCGAAGCAAGTCGAAAGCCGTCCGAACACTAGCCAGGCCGCGACTAGGCAGCAAGACAAGAGAGGGGCAAGCAAAGCGAGCGCGCGGGCAGCTGATGGGGATAGTTTTTTCCTCGCGGGCGCAAGCGAAAGCGCAGGCGCCGTGGTGAAAGGTCCAGGCCGCGGGCCGATCTAGCTGGTGGGGATACTTTTTTTTGGTCGCGGCCGCAAGCGAAGAGCGCAAGCGGCGAGCAGGGTGTCCGGGCCGACGGGCGCTGGTGGGGATTTTTTTGGTCGCGGCCGCGAGCGAAGAGCGCACGCGGCGAAAGCCATTGTCCGGGGCTGCGAACAAGGCTAATTAGCTACAAGACGCGCCGCAAGCCGGCCGGCCCACTCACCAAGCAGCAGCGGGGCTGTGCGGGAGGCTGACCGCTGGGGGCATCCAGGGAAGCTCAGGCACGTGCAGTAGACAAAATGCCGAGAAATTCGGTGCATGCCGTGAGGCATAACCCACACAGACGACGTTGCTGGTGGGGATACGCGGAGCGTCAACCATTTTCTGAGAACCTTCCCCGAAGGCGCAGAAAACGTCTCAGAAGGCGCGGGGGCTTCTGAGAAGTCCCGCCGCCTTCTGAGAAGGCCTCCTCCTCCTCACTCCTCACTTCCCCCCATCGCTCGCCGCCGCGACAAGGTCGCGGGCGGAGGAACCACGCCTCGGCGGCACCCCCCTGACGGGACCGCCCCATATGCAAACCGCCGCCGCCGCTCTCGCCCTCCAGGGGCGTCGACGGCGCCTGAGGGCATGGACGGCCGAAGCTTTCGCTTGCAGCTGGGGCACTGCCATGCTCATCAAAATCCCTACCGTGGAGGCCAGTCCACAAGAGACCTTCCACAAGAAACCCAACCCTGAGACCCCAGGACGTCCGTTGATTTTTGGCATGGGAACGTCGCGCTCTCCACAGCAAAACTATCGAAACCCAGGAAACCCAGGGCACCCTGGAGGCGAGCAGGGTGTTTCTTGGCATGGGTCCCCACTGTACACCTACCCAGACCCCCGACGTCATGATTTCTCTTTGACGCGACCCCCAGAAATCCGGACCCGTTCCCCGGGACCGCCTCTTCATGCCGAGGCGTTTTGCGGACGGCCCCGAGGCCCGGCAAGGGACCCTGGGGGCCGAAGAGAACGAAAAAACTCCCGTCGTGATTGTTTCACAACGGGAGGGGGGAGGGGTCTGGGTGCACGTGCCGCCAGGATCGTCGGAGACAACCTCCCCGCCACTCGTTGCGGAGCTGGCACGGGTCGATACTGCCGAGCACAGCTTCGAAGCGCACACGGAGCACGCTCGTCGCCGCTCGGCACAACAACTGGCCGCTTACATGGGTGGAGGAGGAGGAGGACGAGGAGGACGAGGAGGAGGAGGAGGACGACGAGAAGGAGGAGGGAGGAGAAGGAGGAGGGAGGAGGGAGGAGGAGGAGGAAGAGAAGGAGGGGGAGGAGGAGGATGAGGAGGAGGAGGAGGAGGAGGAGGAGGAGGAGGAGGGGGAGGAGGAGGAGGAGGAGGAGGACAGGCCGTTCACCGACGTCACAACTCGGCCACCGAAACCACGTCACACTTGGCGTCTTCTGGACGCACAGCCTGAGGCGTGCGGGCCTTACCCGGCTACACACCCACGCCGTATGGTTCGACGACCTTGACGCGCTCGCCCTCCCCGCCCACCCTGAGTTTCCCGTCCCGCTCGCGCTCCCACTCCGCCCCCACCTTGTGAGGCACTGCGTTGCCGATCCTGAGCAGCCAACCGACGTGCCACGACGTCTGCCCCCGTGGCCCGCGTGGAGCGGCAGCTCCTTCCGAGCCGAGAGGAACGGAGAGGGGCTGAATGATGCAGTCAGGGACGGGAGGGAGTGAGGGGATGAGGGATGACGGCCCCTCTTCGAGCCGAGAGGAACGGAGAGGGGCTGAGTCATGGACGGGAGGGAGGGAGGGGATGAGGGATGACGGCCCCATTTCTTTTTCTTCTTCTTCTGCTTCTTCTTCGTCTTCTCATACTTACTATTCTTAGTATTATGTGTATTATTCTTGTTCGTCTCCTCCTCCTCCTCCTCCTCCTCCTCCTCCTCCTCCTCCTTCCTGGGAGGTCGGAGGCCTGGGGGCCCTGGCGCCCCCCCCTCGGAGGTGCCGCTCCCGACCCCGCCGCCCCCAGCAGGGCCCGGGAGGCCAAGGGGGGACCCCTCGGCGGCGAGGGGCGCATCTCGCGGCCGGAGCTGGGCCGCTACTTGAGGCTCCGCGCCGTCGCGCCACCCCTCGAAGGGAAGACTAAGAAGAAGAAGAAGAAGAAGAAGAAGAAGAAGAAGAAGAAGCAGAAGAAGAGAAAAAGCAGAAGCAGAAGCAGAAGAAGAAGAAGCAGAAGCAGAAGCAGAAGAAGGGCCTCCGACCTCTCAAAGACGAGGAGGAGGAGAAGACGAGACATAATAATAATACTAATAAAAACAACGATAATACTAATCAGATTACTAATAATAGTACTAAGAAACATTCTAAGAATAATATTGAATGATAACAACAAGAAAAAGGATAAGAAGAAGAAGAAGAGGGGCCGTCATCCCTCATCCCCTCCCTCCCTCCCGTCCCTGACTGCACCATTCCGCCCGTCACTTCCTCGCCACCCTTCGAGCCCCGCGCCCCCTCGCGCCGCCCCGCTCGAACCCGAGCACTCCCCGCCCGCAGGCGCGCGGAGGGCGGCACGCGTCCACGCATCCCGCGGGCGACCGAGCGGAAGAGAGAAGGCGGCTCCCCTGGGAGGCCTGGAACTGGGCACCAACACCGACACAAGGGGCTGCCTCCACAGGGGGAAGGTGATCCTAGATTTCGGTGTTGGTGGTAATACTTCGACCACCTTGGAAGCCAGAATACTACCACCATCACCGAGGTCGGGATCCTCTTCCCACGGTGGAGGCACACCGCCGACACTGGTGTTGGTGCCAACCTCTAGGCCTGCGGCTTTCTCGGGGGAGAGCGGAATCGGACGAGCTTCGACGCCGCCCCGCCGCCTTCACGTTCTCGAACGACGCCAGGTGGATCGTTGGGTCGGACCTCGCCCCCCCTATGCTTGGAGTGTCGTTCAAGCGATCCCCACCCCCGGCGGCGTGGCCTGGACCCTACTGGCCGATTTACCCCCCTAGATGGGGATATAGGCCGTATCCTTCGGGTTTCGAAGGGTGTATCCCCAACTGGGGGGATAATTTGGTGGGGGTCTCGAAGGCGATGGGGATGGGGATGGGGATTGGTTAAATGATACCGAATGCTGTGTTCACTGCGCTGGCCCGTGTGGCAGCCGTCTGCCGGTCGCCAGCGACTCTTCGTGCTTCCGGCTGCCGCCCCCCTCTGCCCCTCGGCGTGTCCCCTCATCTCCGCATACGCCTACCCCCCGTGCCAGCTCTCTTGCATTGCCACGTGTGTGTGTGTGCGAACTACAAAGATAGACACAAACCACGCTGCTTGTCCGCATGCACACACATAACTAGTGTACACACTTGATGCGTACCTACTACAAGAAGGCTGTGGCGTTTCGGGCCGTACGCCTGGGTGTTTGGTCCGTCCATTTCCGCACACAGGCGGACGATACTGAGATTAAAATATCGTCCCTGCTGTTCGTTATCGTCCTTACGTTCCTGTTATTGTTTTCCTCCGTTCCTGATTTTTCTTTCTTCCTTTTCCTCGTCGTCGCCCCTCCCTGTGATACCCTACCCGTCCTCCTTCTCGCGTTGCTTTCGGCGCGGCCTCCTCCCTTGGGAGGTGTCTAGGGAACGCCTCTCTCAAAGGCCGGGGCCTCCCAACAATGGTCACCCACGACGACTGAATCACAATTTGGAGGGCTGTGGGGGCATATTTCGTACTAACACCTTGTCCTGATTCTGTGCTTGCTGCCGATTTCGGCCAGACTGGTTGCGCTCCGATTGCTGGCATGCTGCATGTGAATGCAAGTCAAAGTGTTTTTGTCAGGATGACGGTCTCAAACGCTGTAGATTCATCTTCAGCCTCCTCCCCATCACCCGTCCTCGTTCCTCCCCTCCTCATTGTTCAGCCTCCGTTTCCCCCTCCACTTCACATTCCTCCGCATCAACCGCCTCCCTCCGCCATCCTGCTACTCCTCCTCCAACTCCTGGCCGCCCGCCACGTTCACCCTACAGTCTCCTCACGCTCCCAATCCCTGATTGCCCTTCCTCAGTACTATCCCCCACTGCGCCCCTCTCGACATGCCTCCCTGCGTGCATCCCACCTTTCCTTCGTGGAAGCCTATAGATCCGCGTTTCCGCGGCCACGATCCCTCGTGCACGACAACGAAGGATCCGTGATGCTGAAGCTGCGGCCACCTGAAAACACGCACTGGCTCCGCGCTCCCGAGGCCACAACCCTTCGCACCTGCCTCGGCAAGGCACCCCTGCGAACAGCAGAGGTGAAGAGGCGGGTCGGGACAGGGGCGAGAGCACGATTCCTGCATGCGCCACCGCACCTTCAGCACGTGCAGTGGAGCGTTTTTGTTTGCGACGCGCGCGCAGAGCGAGCGGCGAAGCGCCTCGGCGGCGCCGTGCCCAGCTCAGGCGCGTACACCTCACTGTGGGTGGAGGGGGGGGGAACCGCCACGCACGACCCGCACGGGGGAGTGCAGGACTGCGCGTGTGGCGGGCAGCCCCGAGGGGTAAAACGTCTGTGAGGTCTTCCGGGCCCGGACCTCCGGCGTCCAAGGCGCTCCTGGGCGCTGCCGGGGCGTGCCGCACGGGCCTCTGGGACGGCGACCCCGCCCAACAGGGCCCACCACGGGCGAAGAGAGCCCCAAGAAGCCCCCAGCAGGGCCCAAGAGGCTTCCGAGACGGCCCAAGAGCTTTCCAAAACGCCCCCAAATGGCCTCAAGACGGCCCCGAGACGCCCCCCAAATGGCCCCGAGACGCCCCCCAAATGGCTTACAAGACGCCTTCGAGACTCCGCTAAAAGAGCCCCAAGAGCCTTCTCAAGAGAGCTGCCAGAGGCCAACATCATTGATTTTCCTATGGTTTTTCAATGAGTTGTGGGTTCTCCACTATTCTACCTTCCGACGCTCCAAGACGTCCCAAGAGGCCCCTAAGACCGCCCCAAGACGGCCACAGGGGCACCCAAGAGGGCCCCAAGGCGGCCCAACAGGGCCCCCAGAGGACATCAGACGACCCAAGAGGCACCCAAGACGGCCCAAGAGGGCCCCAACAAGACGGCCCCAAGAGGGGCCCAAAGTGGTAACACGAACCGAAAATCCGAGTCTTCCGCCCAAAGAGGCGCCCGGGAGGATCCAATAGGCCCCCAAGAGGCCCCTGGCGGCGACGTTGTCACCGTCGCCGCCCCATCGCCGCCCGTCGTCCAGGCCTGGCTGGAGGTCTGGCGGCTACGTTGCCGTCGTCGCCGCCCCGTCGCCGTCTCGTCGCCGCATAGATTGTACAGCATAGATTGCACCACACAGCTTGCACAACATAAATTGCACAACAGATATTGCGCCTCATAGACTGCACACCGAAGAATGCACAACACAGCCTGCATTGCATATATGGCACCACACAGATTGCACCTCATAGATTGCACAACGTATAATAGCACACCAATTGTACAACGTATAATGCGCACCATAGATTGCACCGCATAAATGGTACAGCCTAGATGTCCTACCATAGATCGCACCACCTCCATCGCACCCCATATATTGCACCACCTGTATCCGAGACACATAGATCGCACCACATAGGTTGCACAACCTATATTGCACAATCTATGTTGCACAAAAAAGACGGCACACCATAGTTTGCACCATTTCGATGGCTCCACATAGATTGCGCACCGCATGTGCTGCACCAAATGGGTTGGACCACGCAGTTTGCACTACAGAGACTGCACAATATGTATATATAATACGCATCTCTATAATCAGCAGCATAGACTGCACATCCGATCATGCACCACATGTAGAGCACCACCTGGATTACTCCACAGAGTTTGCTCCCCATAGCTAGCAATGCATTGCACAACACATATATTGCACAACATACATTGCACAACATATAATACACAACATATAATGCACCACCGATATTGTTCCACACAGAATGCTTCACATGTGTGGCAACAAAAATACTGTTGGGGGCCCACGCCGGCTAACATGTATTAGCCACTCGACAAATCAATGTGTGCTCAAACCAATATTGCTGTTACAATGGGTGTCCAGTCGTGAATTGAATTGTGCGTCCGATGCGCATCAAAGAAAATGCCAATGCGCCCCAAACCTCCTTATCACCCGAATGGTGATCTTATGGGTAAACCCGTTCGTTGATGGCACATCGGCCTAACACCAAAAACGCACTTACAGCGTAGATCGGCCGTTCCTGCTTGCAGGCGGAGTGCGAATCTGGAGCCAATCTCAGCTCAAGCCACATGGGCCGCTTATTGCAGAGCTGAGAGAGCTAGCACCAGCCAAGAGACGCAATGAACAATGCAATAAACATGAAACATGCATTATCCGTACCTCTTCTTTCGGATTCGGCCGCGCCCTGGTGGCCCCTACAAAAGCTGTGCCCTGGCAACGTCGACAGCCCGTGAGAGCCCCTTTCGAACAAAAACGTATTGGCATGTGTCCGCGTATTGCCACTAACTCCAGTCCCGCCCTCCTCCTCCTCCTCCTCCTCCTCCTCCTCCTCCTCCTCCTCCTCCTCCTCCTCCTCCTCCTCCTCCTCCTCCCCCTCTCCCCTACCCCTCCCTCTTCCCCCTCTTCCCCTCCTCCCCCGCCAACCTGCCCCGTGTCACCATGATGCGCTCTCCTTGCCCTATTGCACGGGGCGCCTCATCTCGGCACGCTCGCCCGAGCGGGCCCCCCCCGTGGACTCCAGGAACACCGCGCTGATCCGGCAGATCTGTGCCACCTCGTCGCCCTGCGGTTTGGGGGCCACTCGAAGCTGAGCAGAGAGGAGGCGTGCTGGGGCCGTTTGGGCTCCTCCGCCTCCTCCTACTCCTCCTCCTCCTCCTCCTCCTCCTCCTCCTCTCCTCCGCATCCTCCTCCTCTTCCTCCGCCTCCTCCTCCTCCTCCTCCTCCGCCCTCTTGGCGTGTTCAGGCTCGTTTTTGGGGGGGGGGGGGGGCCGCCGCGGGGCTTCTCAGGCCCACTTGGGCGCCTCTTGGGCCAGTCTGGTGCCCTGTTGGGGCGCGTTGGGGCCCTCGTGGACGCCTATTGTGCCGTCTCTCAGGGGCGGCCTTTACCTACACGTCGCTGGAGGGTTTGTCAATTTATCTCACAACATGATGCTATACGAATCTCTTCACCTGTGGTGCTGAGGGACTGGCGGGTTATACAGTCACCATCAGCCGCGAGACCCCTCCCAGGAATGCAAGGCCCCGCTTACCAAGACACGCCAGCAATACCTCGATCGCCATCCCCAGGGATCTCGTGCCCGAAGTTCGCAGCAACGCCAGCGAGGCGGCCAGGTCCTGATTCACATTGAGCTCGCTCCACGATCGGTCTCGTCTTATGTCACACACCCTCAGGAGGATACGACCTATACGACCACCCTTCGGGTGATAAGGAGGTTGTGGGGTGGGGGAGAGGGCGGGGAACGAACACCTGACTCAATCAATCTCACTATTGATCTCACTCAACGGGACACCACGGGACACCACGGGACACTTGTCGATCTCCTATCGATCTCACTATCGATCTCACTCAACGGGACACCACGGGACACCACGGGCCACCACGTGACACCACGGGACACCGCGGGACACCTCTCGCTCTCAGTGACGGTCTCACTATCGGTCTCACTGTCGATCTCACTATCGATGTCACTATCGATCTCACTTGTTTGGACACCACGGGACAACTCCGGGCATTATATTGATCTCAGTATCGATCTCAATATCGATCTCACTCAACGGGACACCACGGGACACCACGGGACACCGCGGGACACAGCGAGCCACCGCCGGACGGACGGACGGACGGGCGGGCGGGGGAGAATCATTTGTCTTGACTTCGCCCTAGCAACGGCGGACACCACGAGACACCGCGGGACACCACGGGACACCGAGGGACACCGCGAGCCACCGCCTGACGGGCAGGAGGGGGAGAATCATGTGTCTTGACTTCGCCCTAGCAACGGCGGGTTCAATCCTCTCGCGCGCCAAAGCAGCTTCGCCTCGCCCGCACGCACGACATGAACAAAACGAAACGATTTCCCAGTTGGGGGTCTCTTTCCTTCTGCGATCTCAACCCCCAACCTCCGATACGCACACCATTGACGCCGTGTTGTCTGTTTGTCCCGTGAGTGTCATACTCACGATTGCCTGAAGAGCGCGCAGCTTTGGGCCCTGGCATTCGCAAGACTGACAAAGGACAGTGCTTTTGTTGGCCTGCACGGCACCTAGCAGCCTCCTTACAGTCGGCCCGTATCAGAAGGACGCGCGATAAGGATTTAAGGGCCTTGGACGCCCATTTCGAAGCTTTTCGAGCGGGGCGCGGCCAACGAAAGTGGTCAAGGATGAACCGAGGAGGCAAGGATGCAAGGGTACCCTTGGGAAGGTTGCCCATCCTTACTGTGTGGGCTGACTGTACTCCCGTAGATGGACAAAAGAAGAGGAACCCTTGAACCCCCCCCGAATTCGAAGCTGGCCTCGAGTACTCGGCAGCGCAGGCGCGAGAAAGACAACAAAAACAAGTGGAGACCCCCCAGCAGGGCCTCCAGAAGGCCCAGGCCGACTTTGAGACTGGGGGGAGGGGTGGGGGGGGCGAACGCGAGGTCGAAGACGACAAGGTCCCACTACGGTAGGAGCTCGACCACAAGAAACCGTCCACGAGAGACCCAGCCCTGGAACCCCAGGACGTCTGTCGATCTGTTGATGTGGGAACGCCACGCCTTCCACAGCATCACCATCGAAAAACCCAAGAAACCCAGGGCACCCTGGAGGCAAGCAGGGTGTTTCATGACATGGGTCTCCACTGTAGGTGGAGCGGAGCAGGTGGCGGCGTCCCCGGCGGCAAAATGCGGTGGGACAAATGCCAGGCGGGCCGCAGGGAGTGGGTGGTGCTTTCGGCCGCAGCCTCCCTAGGCGGGTTGGGGGGGGACGGACCCCGCCAGACCGGCCAGTGCAGAAGCGGTGCTGTAAGCGGCTTCGGCGCAGAAGCGCCCCAGCTGCTGGACCCTGGAAGCAAGCAGGGTGTTTCTTGACATGGGCCCCCTTGGCCGTCCCAGGGTGGTGGCCGACTCCACCAGGGGGGTCCCAGCACAGAGCGACGGGGTGGCTCGCCAAGCCGGTCGAGCGACGGCCAGCGCGCGCGGGCGGCGCGCCTCCGTGCCCCCAAGAAGGAATAGATCGGAGCCTCCTCGAGAGGAGGCACGGGCGCGGAAGCGTTGGGGGCCATGGGGCGCGTTGAAAGGAGCAGGAGGAGGAGGAGGAGGAGGAGGAGGAGGAGGAGGAGGAGGAGGAGGAGGAGGAGGAGGGGGAGGAGGGGGAGGAGGGGGAGGGGGAGGAGGAGGAGAGGAGGAGGAGGAGGAGGAGGAGGAGGAGGAGGAGGAGGAGGAGAGGAGGAGGAGGAGGAGGAGGAGGAGGAGGAGGAGGAGGAGGGGGAGGGAGGAGGAGGAGGTGGAGGAGGATGACGACGAGGTGAACGCGGCGGCGCCGTTGCCTCGGGCACGTACAGGAGCTTCAGGGGCACGAGCCCCAGAGAGATGAAGGCTGCCGGGAGCCACCTTGGGAGAGGCCGCGCCGCGCGGCGCCAGGGGCAGGGAGCGCGAGGGCTGGAGGTGTGTGGGAGGGGAAGGGAGGAGGAGGACGTCGGGGAGGGAGGAGGAGGGAGGGAGGGAGGGAGGGGGAGGAGAAGGGAGGGAGGGAAGGAGGGAACGGGGGGAGGGAGAGGAGGACGAGGAGGACGAGGATGATGAGGATGATGATGATGAGGACGAGGACGAGCAGGAGGAGGAGAACGAGGAGGAGAGGGAGGAAGAGGAAGAGGTGGGAGAAAAAGGAGAGGAGGAGGAGGAAGAGGATACGGAAAGGCACGCGGGGGGGAAAGGAGGAAGGGGATGAGGACGACGAGGAGGCAGGAGGAAGGGAGAGAGGGAAGGAGAACAGCAATGAGTAAATAGAGGAGGGACGGAGGGAGAGCAGGAAGACGAAGAGAAGTAGGGAGAGGAGGAGGAGGAGGAGGAGGAGGAGGAGGAGGAGGAGGAGGAGGAGGAGGAGGAGGAGGAGGAGGAGGAGGAGGGGGAAGAGGATCATCCCCATCCTTATGCAAATCCTCATCCACCGCCTCTTCCTCATTCACTACCACTATCATCAGCATCAGCACAATAAAACAGCATCATCACCACCATCATCACTATCATCACCATCATCCATATCATCGCGATCACCACCATCATCACCACCATCACCATCATCACCACCACCACCATCATCATCATCACCATCACCACCATCACCATCACCATCACCATCACCATCACCATCACCATCATCATCATCATCATCATCATCAGCAGCAGCAGCAGCAGCATCATCCGCATCATCCACATCATCAGCATCATCATCAGTATCATCATCATCATCATCATCATCATCATCATCATCACCACCATCATCATCATCATCACCACCATCATCATCATCACAATCATCATCATCACCCACCACCACCGTCGTCGTCTTCGTCGTCGTCTTCGTCGTCGTCCTCGTCGTCGTCCTCGTCCTCGTCGTCTTCCTTTTCCTCGTCCTCGTCCTCCCTCCTTCCTCCCTCCTTCTCCTACTCCTCCTCCCCCTCCTATTCCTCCTCCTCCGCCTCATCCTCTTCCATTCATCCTCCTGGCCCTCTGACCCCTCCGCTCACCTCTCGCACTCCTCCTCCTCCTCGCAATCGTCCTCGCATGCCCCCCTCCCACTCCTCCTCCTCCTCCTCCTCCTCCTCCTCCTCCTCCGCCTCCTCCTCCTCGTCCTCGTCCTCCTCCTCCTCCTCCTTCTCCTCCTCGGATCCCTCTCCAAAGAGGAAGGGGTGCGCCCTGGCCACCGGCACATCGCTGGAAAATGGCTATATGTGTGCGGGCGGGGTCCCAGGAGGAGCGCCGTGTGGCCCTCCTTGGGAGCGCACGCGGCGCAGAACTGGGCACGGTGAAAACGTATATTTGAATGGTCTCCGGCCAGTGCCGCCGATCCGTTGCGCTCTGGATGCTGGTGGTTGGCACGACGACGACGGCGACGACGACGACGATGACGACCTCGACGCCGACAACGGACGACTAACAACTAACGGAAGGCGGGAGATGGGAGGCCCCAGGAGGAGCGCCGTGTGGCCCACCTCGGGAGCGCACGTGACGCAGAACTGGGCACGGTGAAGACGTGTATTGCAGGCGGCCCGTATCAGATGGATGCACGATAAGGATGCAAAGGGCCTTGGAAGGCCGTTTCGAGACTTCTCGAGCGGGGCGCGGCCAGCGAATGTGGCCAAGGAGGGACCGAGGAGGCGAGGGTGCAAGGGTACCCTTGGGAAACTTGCCCATCCTTACCATGCGGGTTGACTGTCGGGCGTTGGCAAAACTGGGTTTAGTGGGACCAGGTTTAGTGATGTGTATGTACTAGGGGACGCCTCCCCCGCCCCGTTCCACCAACCGGAACTGCCCTCACCCGAAAAAACACCAGCTACGGCAGACCTGGTGTAGTGATTCTGGCCAATTTAGGGGCTCCGGGGCCCTGTCACTAACCGGGTCCCCTCACCTGGGGTCCTGGCTGTCCCCGAGGCTGTAAGGACGGGCGGAAAGGACGCAAGGCCCTTGGAGGCCAAAGTTGGCATTTTCCTGTGCGGCGGGCGGCCAATGAAGACGGCAGAGGGCGGGCCGCAGAGGCAAGGGCACACGGGTACCCTGGACGGAGGCGCGCGGCCTCACTCTACGCGTGGACTGTAGGGCAACGTTCGATCGACGCGGCACTTTCCTCGCAGACCTGCCGATCTTCAGACAAAGGGAAGCTGTAACGAACGAATAACTCAAGCATGCCGTCGAAGCAGAATCGTCCGAAAGGAAACGAACTGCACGATCCAAAAAATCCGCGCGGACCTCCGAAAGTTTATGTTGACGTATGCTGTTTTTTCCTCGTCGAATCTTGCTCGCTCTTGCGAATCGACGCTAACCGACGCTAACCAGCGCTGATCGACGCTAAACCGACGCTGAATCGACGCTAAATCGGCGCTAGCTCGATCCCTTCTCTTCCACTGCAAGACGCCAACGCACGCTGATGCACTCTGAAAACGGAACCGCTAGGATATGCGAGGCTCCCGTGAGCTGCTGCCGGATAGGTGGCGACATCCGGACCCAACCCCCCCCCAACCATCGATCCTCCCGAATCGAGGGGAGGCGGGGGCAGGAGTCGGATCTCGCCCCGTGCTCGACGAATTCCGCACCCTCCCCCCCGCCGCCCATCGAGATGCCCGAACCGTGGGTCGGCGAGGGTCACGAGGTGCGGCGATCGCCGCCGACCCGAGCCGCCGACCGAGGCGCCAACTCGTAGAGACCCCCCCAAAGTGGGCAGGAGGATCGCGCAGCACCGGCGATGCATTGGCGATGCATCGTCGACGTTGGCGGTGCGACGGCGCCGTCGACGCCAAGAAAAAAAATCGGGCTCCACCTCGAGCCGCAGCGCGGATGCGTCGGCGATGCGGAGCGATCCTTCGACCCTATCTGCTCGGACCCCATCCGGGAGGCCTAGACCTCGACTGGACCAATAGGGGAACGAACAATGACATAAGCATAAAAAACTCGGAGGTCCGCGCGGACCGATCGGAGAAATCCGCGCAGAGCTCCGAGTTTTTACGTTGATGTCATTTTTCGTTCCCTTCACCAAGGCGCCAGCGGCCCCCTCGGGACCCTCGGCGCTCCTTCTCTCCTCGGCGGCTGCGAAGGGTGTGGTTTTTGCAGAGGGTGCGGTTTTGCAGCCCGCGCGCGCCTGGGGGGGGGTCAGGCGAGGACCTCGACAGAGCTAGGGGGAGGAGGAGGAGGAGGAGGAGGAGGCGGAGGAGGAGGAGGGAGGAGGAGGGGAGGAGGAGGAGGGGGAGGAGAGGAGAAACGAGGAGGAGGAGGAGGGGAGGTGGAGGAGGAGGAGGAGGAGGAGAGGAGGAGGAGGAGGAGGAGGAGGAGGAGGAGGACGAGGAGGAGGAGGAGGAGGAGGAGAGGAGAGAGGAGGAGAGAGGAGGAGGAGGAGGAGGAGGAGGAGGAGGAGGAGGACGAGGAGGTGGAGGTGGAGGAGGAGGTGGAGGTGGAGGTGGAGGAGGAGGAGATGGAGGAGGAGGCGAGGGATCATCAAAGCGTCGGCGCAACGTAGTGGCCCCCGAAGCCCCAGCGGCGCCGATCGCAAACCGCACCCTGGCGTACAGTCAAAGCGCACAAGAAGGATGTGCGCTGAGAATGCAAAGGGGCCTCGGAAGGCCATGTTGACGTTTTTCGAACGGGGCTGGCCAGCGAAAGCTGCCAAGGATGGGCCAAAGGGGCAAGAGATGCAAGGTGACCTTGGGAATTTCTCCCCCTTGCTATGCGCTTTGACTGCAATCGGGCGGGTGGTGCTGGGGGTGACCAAACTGGGGGGTGAAGAGAAAGGCCCCCAAGGGCCCCTTCAGGGCCTCTGTTGGAGCCAGGAGGCGCTCAAAAAGAGCCCTGAAGGGCTCCTTTAGGGCCCTTATATAGACCCCCCCATTTAGGTCACCCCCCCTTTGGACAAGCGCGTTCCACTGCTCGCCAAGTAACTACTCGCAAATGGCCTGGATCCGCTGTGGGGAATTGGAGATCCATGACGTGGAGGCAGACATCTGCTCCTCCGACGCTTGCGAGTAGGCACTTTGCGAGCAGTGGAACGCGCTTGGTGACACACTGCCACCCGCCCGATGTAACCACGCCCTTTGTATAGGGAAACGAACAATAACATAAACATAAAAACTCGGAGGTCCGCGCGGACCTCTCGGATCGGCGCTGGACCCCCCTCCCTGGCGCGCGGAGCGCGCCAGGGACGGCGCCGGAGGCGCCGCCAGGGGGCCCCACCGCGGATCCGAGAAACCCGCGCGGACCTCCGAGTCTTATTTTGCTTGTGTCATCGTTCGCTCCCCTGGCTGTGACCACGCCCTTTGCAATCGCCGATCCTTGGGGCCCCGCCCGGATCGCGCCGGGCTCGGCAGGGCTTCGGCCTGCCTGCGCGCGGCGCCGCGGTGCCGGCGGCCCCCCGTCCTCGGGCCGAGCGCGCGCGAGCGCGGCGCCGCGCGTTCCCGCAGGCTGCGCTCCCCGAGGAGGGCTCTCCCCGAGGGGCCTCGCGCGCGCGCGCGCCGTGCTGCCTCCCCCTCGCAGATCGCCTCGGCTCTGCGCTCCCCTCGCTCCCCTCGAGTTGTCGTTCTGTGTTCGCTTTCCCGCGTCTCGTCTGCCTTTCTGCCGCAGGACGAAAGACGAAGACGGCCCACGAAATCGCCAAGACACTGTCTAGGTCGAGCCCTGCCCTCGCCTATCTCGTTCCCGCCGTCGCCCCACCCCGTTTTTGTTTTGCTACTCGACGTACTCGTCTCCATCGTCGTGGTCGTCGTGATGGTCGCCGCGGTGGTGGTGGTGGTGGTCGTGGTCGTCGTCATTGTCGTCATTGTCGTCATTGTCGTCGTCGTTGTCCTCCTCTCTCGTCATCCTCCTCCTCCTCCTCCTCCTCCTTCCTCCTCCTCCTTCTCCCTCCTCCTCCTCCTGCTCCTCCTGCTCCTCCTGCTCCTGCTCCTGCTCCTGCTCCTCCTCCTGCTCTTGCTCCTGCCCATGCTCTTCTTCCTCGTCCTCCTCCCTCCTACAGTCTCTTTCTCCCTTCTCCCTCCTCCCTCTCCCCTATTCCCATTACTCCTGTCCTTTCCGTCCTCGTGGTCCTCACCCCCTTCCTCTTCGCAACCACTTCGACGATCGACCCCCCCCCACACTTCCGATCACTTCCGTTAAGAAGCGGACGCTACCTCACAACGCACGCATCTGCAGCGCTAGACCCTCGGTGGGCCGCAGAAGCGCCAACTAAACCACTCAGTTCATATGTTTGTTTCCCCCCAAAACCCCACCAGCCCTTCAGGGCTTACGTAGGTGTTTCAGCGAGTTCGTTGCTGCAATACTTTTCTTCCCCTTCGGAGAAGGTTCCCCCCATACTTGTGCTCACATATACTAAGGGCGCACATAGAATCACGGGCGTACACTTATATATCCATCTACGTACACGCTCTACCAAAATACAACACTACCAAAATGCACACTTTACCAGATCCGTGTTCCGCGTCCCAGAGAACGCCGTGGGACACCAGAGAAAGGGACCATGAATCCACGCAACACACATAGAACACTTCAAAAGAAAACGTGGCACGACGACGCCTGGCAGTGGGGGGGTACCGTCTGGAGCCCCCATTGAGAGGGGTGATGGGGCATTGCCTTTGGAAGTGCTCGGTAGACCCGAAGATGCAGCAATTTGCGGGATCAGGCTCCTCCTCAGCCTGGAGATTGCTTCGGGCAT